ACAGGGCCAACCAGACCTCAGCAGGAGGAACAGCTTGGCTTAATGACTAATTAAGACATCTTAACGACAATTAACTCCCCAATTAACACATCTTGCAATATGGTGTTTACTTTTAAAAGTCTTCAGCTCTGTTTCTATAAGTCCACCGAGAACAAACTATCACACGTTCTCCCACTCATAATCATTAACATATGCTTACAGAGAGCTCTCATTGAGTTCACTGCAATAAAAGTCCAGTCGCATACTGAACAAAACCGACTATGCCTTATAGATAACCTTAAGACTAACATATTGATACTAACACCCAAAAAACTTTCATTTTGATTTCATGGGGACTTTAAAAAAAACTTCTCCTGCTTCTCAGATATTTCTCCTAAGAAAAAGACCACAGAAATCTCAACTCAAACATTTCTCATCACATTTTTCCAAATCTGAAAGATCTGAGCTCCTATTCACATTCATTTCACAGCTCTATACTCTTACTGTATGTCAGCAATTGTCTCATTTTGTATTGTAAATTGAAACAAAAATAAAATCTATAAATTAGATATAAACTTAAAAAAAAAAATCAGTGTCGCCCTGGCAAAACTAAAGTAAAAACAAATAAAAAATAAAGCTAAAATAAAAATATTAAAATAATCATTAACATATGCTTACAGAGAGCTCTCATTGAGTTCACTGCAATAAAAGTCCAGTCGCATACTGAACAAAACCGACTATTTTTAGGTTGCCATGGTTAACTGTTAGAGTCCAGGGGTGAAAAGTGGGTTCAAAAGTGGGTGTTTCATATCAGAATGCCTGTGAATTGGAGATCTCTCTCAATTATATGCGATCATAAGATTACTGTCAAACTGCATTCAGATTAGTGTGTTAGCAATTAGCAAAGGACTGCATCACCTACAAAAACGCTAATAAAAAAAAAACAATAGCTAAATAGCAGTAGCGGGCAACAGTGCTCGCCCACTTTTTCAGTGGCATTGGTGCCTGAGGTATTTTTCCTATTCATTTTCCCATAGAGCTTTTTATGAACCAAACCAGCTGTGATCATTTATGCCTTCCAGTGCTTTGTAGATGTATCTTTCTGAAATCTAAAAATGAAATAAATGTGTTGCACCAGCTAAATGTCCATGCTTTGCTAATAACAGGGTAATTATGACAGTAAATATAAGACTTTTTAAAACCTTTAAGGAATGAACTGAAGAAAACATACATTCATGTTCTCAAAACGTAAATGTTTTGTATCATTTAGTATATATTACTTGTAAAATACAACTTCTAATCAATCTCCATTACTTTTTAATTAATTTGACAAAAAAGGCATTGAATACCTCTGCCTCCAACCATTAGAATATGGAAATAACTTTTACTGTACCTTCTGATCACACTGCAAAACGTTAGTAATTTTGTCTTGTTTTTCAGTGCAAGATTCTTAAATCATACACATTTACATGAGAAGCAAGACAACATAAAACAATAAGTCTTGTTTTCTGAGAAATGTTTTAATTAAAAATTAAGTGAATGAAATCTTAATTCAAAGGTCAAATGATCATTTTTCAAGAATTTACATTTTAATTTCAAGTACAAGTACATTGATTTAAGGATGTTTAGATATTTGCAATAGGAAAACACAAAATACGGGGGACGATTTTTTGCAGTGCATGCAACATTTAAAGCCATGACTTTATGAATTTAAGATTTTCTGCTCTGATTTAAGACCTTTTTAAGGCCTTCCCGTGGAAGGGCTAATTATGACTTTTTAAGATTTTTTTAAGACCTGCAGAAATCCTGTTTTAATTAGTAACACTGTATATTTGGAAAATCAAGACATTGACATTATTGCTTTTATGTGAATAAATACATTTCTAATTTCAAACATTTCTTTTTTAATTGTTCTTCTTTAAGTACAATAAGTATCAGACCACATTATAAGGGACCACATTTGGTTTTCAGGTATTGAAAACGGATAAAATTCAACTATTTGAACATGGAGCCACATTGAGATCCCAATATATCTGGGACAGAACCATATAGTGCCTTAAAAATTAAGATACCAAAAAAAACAAAAAAAGTGATTTTTCCTATTTTTGACCTGTCACCACTGACATATAATGCAACAAGGATTGCTAAAGTCAACAAATTTTAATAACAGACCTAACCAAAACTCCGGGTAAAAATAAAGTAATAATACCACCGTCTTTCTGAAAGTAATTTTCGCCCTACTGTAATTTGGCTCCAAATCTCAGTTGAAAATCCCTTTTACAAAATAGTGGATTAATCAGTAAATATTTATTCATAGCGAGATTGGTGTATAATTATGGGTAATGTAGTTTTTCACCAGGAATTCCACTGTTGACCACAATTGTTTAAAAAATAAGTAGAAATAATGCAAGCTGGTGGCTTTAATGAAAGCATATACCATAGATTAACAACCTTGTAACTCACAGTATGTCTGTGTTTAATGGTTTATAAGTTATCATTAAAAAAATCAATTCCCTTACGGAGAAAATGAATGGGATTTTTACTTCCAGAACCAGACTGTTGCACTGTATTGATTAACACTATCTAAAAGCCGCATAGCCTAGGTGATGTTAACTGAAAAGTTTTTGATGAAATACACCGACAAACCGGCGTTTTGTTCTTTGGAGTAACATGCACTGACCAATCGTTCACAATAAGTCCAGGATCGTGCATTAAGAAAGTAAATGGGTTCAATTTTGATTTCACATTGACTTTAACATCCGTAAACTCCACGAGACAAACACACGCACAGAGCAACCGCCACAGTGATTTATCTGATTCAATTATCCTGCAAATGTAAAACAAGTCAGTTCAATAAAGAGCTAAAACCTCTCTTTCTTTCGTTCATTCGTCTCTCGCCCTTCCTCCCTCGACCTCCCTCTCTCTGCTGAATAATGAGAGTGTGTAAATGCTTAATTAGATTAAAAGGGTGTGTATAACGATATCAAGATGTTGTGTGCGTGTGTACGTTGAGATCTCTCTACATTAGTGCTGTGTTATTGTGGGCAGGGCTGAGAATTTATGACGCACAAAAACCCTGAAACATCAAACCCATTAAAGAATCCTGATTTATTCTCCGTGAGCACTGGGGAAATATATCACCCATAAAGAGGTGTGTGTGTGTGTGTGTGACAGGAACTCCTGGGAAGCATGTGTTTAATAGGAGAGGCTTAGCCGAGGTCTTTTTGGAAGTGTGTGACCTGAAAAACAAATTAGAATACAAAAGGAAACCGTAAGATATGAAAATATCACAACTGCATGCAAGGAAGACTGATCCAAATTTCCTAAAAACATTTTAAAACCTGCCTCTAAAAAAGTTCATAAATTTCACATCAGAATACTTTCATATTTTCATATCATTTTCATATGTTATATATTTTTATATTCTTCTTTGTTTTGCATTACTGATATTTTTATTTTATTTTACTAATATTATATTATTGTATTTTTAAAACTTAAAGACTGAACTAGATCCACAGAGATTATTTATATAACACAGTCTTCATTTTAATAATTAAGAGATTTTTAAATTACTAATGCTACTTCTTTCATTTTTTATTTTTGTTCAGTTCATAGACTGCTACGTTCTTAATTTACTCTACACGGTTATTTCATCTTAATTATATTATTTATTTTGTGCTAATTTACTTTACGAACTTCAAACTTCATTACTTATTATTGGACACATCAATAGGAAATAAAGGGGGAAAAAAAATCACAAGTGAGTTCTATTTAGTTTTATATACAGCAATGAGATCAAATGCAGATCAAAACGAAATTTCTCGTTAAATTCTCCCAAACAGTATCACTGAGATACTATTATATTTTTTATTAATATTTGAATCAGTTTTTATTTTTATATTTTCTGTGTGTGTGTGTGTGTGTGTGTGTGTGTGTGTATATATATACAGTATATATTACAGTAAAAACAGTAATATTTTAAATAACTGTAAAATAATAATAAATAATAAATAAATATTACTTAAATATGTTAATAAATGAATTACTTCAAATAACAAATACTAAATAAATAAATAAATAAATAAATAAGGCTTTAAATACATAAATATGGTTACTTAAGCCCAAAACACACTGCACGATTTTAGCAATCCTAAAATCCTAAACTTGGCTACGACGTGTGTGTAGACTGTACGATGATGACACCTATTGACTCGTACAATACAATACACATTACTATAAAAGAATAAAATGTCAACAGCATGCGCTAGTGGTAAACAAAAAGAGCATGATAAATCACACTTTAGCAGTTGTATTTTTTATGTGTGCTGAAAAAAAGTGGAAGCGGCGAAAGAGGAAGGGATAAGAGCTTGAGGTAAGTAGTTTTGTGTTTTAGCACCATGTCCTGTTGATTTCATGTCACATTTTTATTGGTTGGTCAGTAAACGTGGATCGTACCAGCAGACACACTGTGCGATGATATCGTAGGGTATCTTTGATCGTAAGATTGTGACAATGACCGTCTTTGAACCTCTCTCACTGTACGACACAGGACCACCGATTAGGAGCCAGGATCATGTATATATATATATATATATATATATATATAGCTACAAATGATTTTGCCATATACAAAAAAGTAAAGTTTACGGAGAAATACAAATGTGTCCCACCAATAAAGCTAAATCAAAACAGTGAATCTTAGAGCCAGATCTCCTGTTATCCGTCATGCAGTGAGCAGACACACACGCCATTAAATTAATCATCTAATTAGCCTATGTAAATCAAAAAATATGATGCATGTTTTATTTCACTGTCTTTGATTTTAGGAGATCAATCGGCCATTCAGATGGAATATAATATCAGAGCTCATGCTGTTCCTGTGGTGAATCTGTGTGTAACAGAGCTGTTAGTCTCAATAAAACAGACAGGAGAGCAGGAGAGAGTTGTCTTTTCTCTTTTCTGGGTCGAATAGACCACTAGGACGCCTCAATCACTGAAACTAAACTTAATCTTAACCAGTCTCACTGACCTTTGACCTGAGCTAGGCACTGCTGTGGGCAGAGAGTTTTCTCAAAGACCTGCGTGAAGATAAAGATCTCATGCTGGACACCAAAGGATCATGGAGCGTTACGTTGAAGGTGCCTTTCAGAACCGTGTCCATGGTGACCGGACTCAACTACAACACACACACAGCCAGAGTGAGACACATTATGTCGAGGAAATTAATGTTTTTATTTAAATAAATAAAAAAATACTAAAAATTAAACATTAGTGCTGGGCAACGATGAATCGCGATTAATCGCATCCAAAATAAAAGTTTTTGTTTACATAATATATGTGCTACATATTATTCACACAATATTAATAAATTATTCATAATATATTGATTCTCCCTAATTTCATCTTTTGAAAGTTCCTTTCTTAAATAGCCTACCGCTTATATACAGTCAGAAAGTCTTCAGTTTTGAGGACATTCACACAGAGATCAGTCATTAGTCAGGAGGCTACACGTGTCACGAATCCAGTCTATGAACTTCCGTTCACTCACCACCAGAGGTCACACGCTCACTACATTGACTCCCACACCACACAGACTGTTACATGTCACTCCGGACTACAGTTCCCATCATCCATTGCACTGATTACACACACACAGCTGAATGCACTGATTACACACACTTAATTATCACTCAGTAGGTTATTTAACCAATATTACTGTGTCTTTGAAAGGCTTTTGTCTTGCACAAATGCATGCTATTTCTTATTTACATGTAATGCAGGCATTCCCAAACCTTTTTTCATTTGAACCTCTTTCACCTAATATATTTACTTGAAGTATACCCCTTGATTGAAGTGACTTCAGAACAGTTCAGTCGAGATCAGGCCTCCCTACATGAAGGAGTGTGACATCAGTAAGATCAAGCATCTCCATCACGTCTGGATATACTTCACTCTCCATTCATCTGAACGTGTCTTCATAAGCTGAGCTTTCCTTTTATGCTTATACTAAAAGTTAACAGGTTATTGGCAACATGCTTGTTTCTAAGTTATTATCGGAACATATACTGTTTAGCAAATTATGTTTATCATTGGAGCGTTCTCATTGTTTGGCTAAGCTGTTTTTAGGAAACGTGTTGTTGATCAAAGCTTTTTGTGTATTATTGGAAACATACTTGTTGCTCAGGCTTTTGGTTATTGCCAATAATATATTGAGCATAATTTTTCCCTATAATGGACAAAAAATTTTGTCTGACGTACACCAGTTTTCTGTTAATACCCTCACCAATCACCTTACCAGAGAACAACATTCCTGATTATAATTGAAATATGTTATCTTTGCTGTGCTGAGACAAGAGAGCATCCTCAAAAGTTGATTGGACAGAGAATCAGTATAGGGCCTAAAGACTGATCCATGAGAGTGGGAGGTGCACAGACCAATGTTCCACTGATGGTTGGAGGACAGCTGATTGAGGGAGTGCAGCAGTTATCTAAGTTGTGAGCATTAGTGGTCACTGATGGAGGACAGAGGCTGAGTATGGAGCTACTCCCTTTAATATCAAAGCATGCCACCTCTTCTCCTCTGCGCTCCCTGACTGATCTTAGAATTGAACATACTACGTCATTGTGTTGGGGGTTTCAAACTTGTGCTTGTGGACAGCTCAAAATCTAAACACTGAAGCCTGCCGCCAAAATAATGTTCAGGACCTCTACAATAATCTTAATACGTTTATAAATAATATATAAGTAAATATTATAAAAAATAAATGTGTGAATTAGGGCTGCACGATAAATCGCATGTGATATTTAACGCGCATCTTGTCAGTAAAGCCATTCTGTAATCAGCGGTAAATCTCCATCACGTGCGTGCTTTCACATGGAGCAGCATTAACTACACAGAGCCGTTGTTCACCGACAAGCTGCACAAAACATGCGCAAAATATGATCGTTATTTTGCACAGCTTGTCAGTGAACAACGGCATGTTTGCATTAGAATGTGGATTTTTATTTTAAATTCGACGAATATTCGAAATTCAAAAATTTTTGACAGCCCTAACACACACACACACACACACACACAAACTCCAACTGTATACACATATATACACGCTACATAAACATATGCAATACATACCTCATATGCTCCGGGTCCAGGGGTCTTGTCTTTAGGGCTTTTGAAGCGATCTTCTTTTAAGACAATCAGTGCAAGTTTTGGGCTGAATTTAACATCTGGACTATATTGAGCCGGACCTGAAAACCACAAACAATCAACAGCTAGTTTAGCTGGAACACTTGTACATGACTCTCTAAAAACGCTGTTTACATGGGGCAAACTCCACTGTTATGTCAGTAAGGCAAGGACAGAAGTTCTCAGTCCCAATTAGACGACTTTTAAAGATATGTTAGCAACAAAACCACAACCTTCACATGTCTGCTTTTAAACGCTCTTGAATGTTTAACCCCTTAGACTTCTGAAGGAAGATTTCCTGTTCAACAGCAGGCCACAAATGCCATAAAGATGAAGTCAGCGTACATTCCTTAAATAACTGTCAAAGCTTCGGTCACCTGGGGTTTCAGGGTCGTAGTGGAGGAAGGCGGGGTCTCTGAGGGCGGCAGACAGGAAGCAGCTCTGTCGCTTGTGTGCTTTCTCGTTCCGCGGCTCACTGTAGTGATGGAGGCCATGTATCTTCTCAAACGAATCGCTCACGTTATATGAGCCTGGCGGAGGTGTATCCTGCCGAGAGAAATCTAATATCTAACCACAGCATCATAAACATCATCTGCACAATTTACAGCAGGTACATATGAGCCAGGAGGCTGTGTGTGTGTGTGTGTGTGTGTGTGTGTGTGTGTGTGCGTGCGTGCGAGCGAGCGAGCGTGCGTGCGTGTGTGTGTGTGTGATGTAAATGCATTACTGCAAACAAGATTTGTGCTTGTTTGTACAAAACGAATAAGAGTCAAATTGCTACAGATGCTGTACATAGAAATGAAACTGTATAGAACTAGATGTATCTATACATCTATCAAGTTATTTAGACGTATGCAACTATTGCATATTGTAATAATAACTAGCTATTTTTATAAATGCATCCGGATTATATTGGCACGGTTGTAATCATATCAGAAAACAACAATCAACAAATCACAAAATATAAAAATAGATGTCAGTCAGGAGTGACAGATCTAATGAATAAATATGCAAAGACGGTTTTGTGAATTAATTCACATTCGGATAATGCACACACACAGTAGCATGTCTTGTTTATTGAGCTGACATCTGTAAACTGGGCAGACAGACAGAGAGAGAGAGAGAGAGAGAGATTCTCACCAAACCTGTCAGGAACAAGACTATTTTTAAGACCATTAAGTTGTTTTGTATTGTGAAACTAATTAAACTAAATAAACTAAATTCCCCTTTGTGTGATGCAAAAAAAAAAAAGATCTTACATTCTAAACAATGTAAATTCTACAATATTTATATATTTTACATGCATTTAATATAC